CAGAGGTAAAAACTGAACTTTACTAGAACCAGGATAGTATGAAATGCAAACAAGCAAAAACAACACACACATTTTTTAAGAGGGAGAAAAGAAAACTAAATTTTACTATTTGAAAGGAGACATTGACAGCAAGAGTGAAACTGTCATCTATCACTCCATGATTTCTGTTTCAGAACCTTCCATTCTTTCACCTATCTTGCCTCCTTTACTGCCCTGGCTGGCCACATTCAAAGTAGGCCAGCAAGTCCAACTGGGATAGCTTCATGTCCTCTGCAATCAATGGGGCAGAAAAAATGAAACAATGGAAAGTGGTAGGATAACTTTATTGTCTCTATGTGTCTTTCTGAAAATGCAACTTTAGCTGGAGAGGGTATAATAGGAAGCATTTCACCTTAGCAGTGGTTTCAAAGACTGAAGCAAGAAAGACTAGACTGAAATGGTTTGTTCACCTTGTTAGCAAAAGGCTAACGTGACCTTTTCTCACATTTCTCCCAGCAGGAATCTCTACACCAGACAGAACACAAAAGCCAAAGTTGAACACAATGGCAAGTTTCAGCCCAACGCTCCTGTACCCTTTGGATGCTGGAGAGGAATATTATGGAACATCCAATGCAAGTGTTTTTTCCAACAACAGCCACAGTAATGATGACCCACAATTTATATATAGGACAGTAACAATGTATATAGTGTGTGTATCAATAATTATAGTTTGCATTTTGGGATGCTTGGGGAATGGAACTGTCACCTGGCTGCTTGGATTCCGTATTCAGAGGACCCCCTTCACCACGTACATCCTGAACCTCGCCATTGCGGACTTTGGTTTACTCGCTGTTGACTTTATTTTAGAAATGCGCTATCTTCAAAACCGTAAACAGGATGAAGGCATCGTGTTTGAATTCTTCGAAGATATTTTCCAATCCATGTACAACACTGGTCAGTTTCTGCTGACGGCCATCAGCATTGACAGGTGTGTTTGTATCCTGTTCCCCCTTTGGTATCGATGCCACCGGCCGCCACATTTGTCTACCATTTTGTGTGCCTTGATATGGATATTTTCTTTCATTTTCCCTGGAATTCACTTCATTCTCTTCCTGATTGCTAAGAAGGAACACAAGTATATAAGGTGCTACCAGTATATTGTGAACGGCTTCATTTGCCTCCCACTCATGACTTTCTCCACTTTGATCCTTTTTATCAAGTTCTGCTTTAAAACACAACGGATAAGGCGGAGAAAGCTGATCACGGTCATCCTGCTTACACTCCTCTTCTTTCTTTCTTTTTCTTTCCCAATGAATGCCTTTTACATAAGCCATTATATTTTTGAGTCACCAACTTTGCATCGCATACAATATGGCTACTTGTGCGCCACTCTGAACAGCAGCGTTAACCCTTTGATCTATTTCCTGGTTGGGAGACCAAAGAGAGGCAAACCTAGGAGAAGCATGAAAGTCATACTTCAGAATGTTTTCAAAGAGGAAGAAAGTCATCCAGATGAAATGGCACCCTCAGCTGAAACCAAGTTATGATGGCTCCAAAAGATTTAATCCAAAAGATGCAATCACACATTCTTAGCCCCTGTGCTCAAGATTAACCTTCCATTTCTTCAAAGAATATGGGATGATTTGCAGTGACCTACATTGAGCTTGCCTCTTCAAGATGGTTCCCACCTGCCTCTGCAGGAATTGGGGCTATACCATGAAACCAGCTGAGAGAGGAACGGAGGAACGGGGCAGGGGATAGATTTCACCATCTACTAAGTAGAGGTGCACCTACTTCTTTCACACATCTCCCCCTCCTATTCACCCTTTTCTTGCCTCTGCTCTCAACCTCATCCCCATGCATCCTCCTCCCTGCTTTGTTGTAAGCCCCTTAGCAACCCAATTTTCACATTCACCCCTTTCCCCTCCACCATCTTCCTTCCCCCCCCTTCCAGTCTCCATTTCACAGAGATCAACCCATTTCTGTGCCGAATGCAGAAAGAGGAAATCTGAGAGAAGCTGGAGAGAAGAAGAGGAACTCTTAGGATGCATTCCATCCTGCTCATAGAGTGCACATCCTGCTCACAGAGTGCACATAGAGGAACATAAATAAGAGGTTGAGGGCCTCTAAAGCAGCATCCGGATACAGGATTTAAAAGAAAAAGAAGAAAGAAAGAAGCAACAGCCCGTAACTGCAATACCTCAAGGACCACCTCTCGCCATATGAACCAACCCGGACCCTGAAATCATAATCAGGTCCTTCTTTGTTTGCCTCCCCCATGAGCAGTCCAGAGAGTGGCAACATGAAAACGAACCTTTTCTGTGATGGCTCCCCACTTGTGGAATCTTCTCCCCAGGGAATCATCAGGTCCTGGGGGGGGGTCATTCCTCTTTCCACAGACCTTTGAATAGTTAAACAATCCATGGCCTTTTAAATTGTGTATGTAGGGGGGGCATTGTTTTGTGTGTCATTATCTTATGTATTTTTTGTGTTTTTCTACAGTGGTACCTCGGGTTAAGTACTTAATTCGTTCCGGAGGTCCGTACTTAGCCTGAAACTGTTCTTAACCTGAAGCACCACTTTAGCTAGTGGGGCCTCCTGCTGCTGCCGCACCGCCAGAGCATGATTTCTGTTCTCATCCTGAAGCAAAGTTCTTAACCCGAGGTAATATTTCTGGGTTAGTGGAGTCTGTAACCTGAAGCGTATGTAACCTGAAGCATATGTAACCCGAGGTACCACTGTACTTTAAACTACCCTGTGATACTCAAATGAAGGTTGGCAAACAAACAAAGCTTCCCCCTCTCTCTTATTGCATGGCCTCCTTTGCAAGCACACCAGTATCATGTTCAACTTCTTCTTTCCTCCTTTTTTCAACTCTCCCTTGCACACAGCGCTGCCCCGTTTCCATACACCCTCCTCTGTCTTATTCTGAAGCACCATTTGCATGTGCACTCACTGCTGGTATATATTAATTTATCTTTAGGATGAATAGACTATTGAGAACAAGCCAGTCACTTAGCTTATTCAGTTAGACTGTTAAATGGTGTTTGATGGATGTTGTACTTATATAGGTATCTGCTTGCTAATAAAATAGCTATTCAAAATTACTGACTCCACTGTTCTGTTTTCACTGCTGGTGTCTCTTGGGGCGTTTGAGCTCCATTTAGCGTGGGAAGCTGGCAGGAAACTTTTTGAGTTGGCAGATAGGCAAGCCTTGAGCTGGACTACCTTCTCCTGCTCTGTGACTTTCAGGCATGTGAGCTGCTGCTGAGCAGCTTGGTCGAAAGGACAATGTGGGACTTAGGCAGCACACATGCCACAGAGCTGACCGCTTGGTCGCTGGTTTGGCTTGGGCCCCCTCCGCCCTCCTGTGGGCAGCTGGTTATCAGTTGCCTCCTTTTGTGCCATGAGTGTTGCAGGTTAGGGCTCCATGGTCATCTCTGTCTCAGATTTGAGTGAGTGCATCAGCCACCTGCCCTTCCCCATTAGGTCTGCTGGTGGCCGTGATATTTTAGACCTACTTTGGCTATAGAGCCCAGTGGCAGCCATTTTAGAGCAGGCCTGGCTTCAGCACATTGAACTTGGCCTCAAACATTTCTCTGATGAAAATAGGAACGTTCAATTCAATAATAATAATCAGCGCTTTTTTTGGGTGGGACGCAGGGGGATGCATACCCCTAAACATTTTGTGAATCTTTGTACTTTTGTCCATTTACTGTATTTATTTTTCTTGACTGGAACTATAAAATGGTGATTTCCTTGAGTCAAAATGAGAGTACCCCTAAACATGTTTTAAGAAAAAAGCACTAATAATAATAATAATAATAATAATAATAATAATGCCCCACACATCTGACAGTGCAGCTTCCAACATATATAAAACTTAATTAATTAATTAATTAATTAATTAATTAATTAATTAATTTTTTAATACACTGCCCTTCCTATACAGGGCTTCCTTCAGAAGTCTTCTAAAGGTTGTATAGTTACTTATCTCCATGCCTTGGGGATCGCATAACTCCATGCCCTCCAACATTTATCTAATGGAAATAGGGATGTCCTAAGGAAAAGTGGGGCATTCTGGGATCAAATCAGAAACTGGGACGTCATCTGTAAACCTAGGATTGCCCCTGGAAAATAGGGATACTTGGAGGTTCTGTTTGAGGGCATTGGCCTGGTGACCATTTTGAGCAGCAGACTTGGTGAAATATTATTCAGGCCATGATAAACCCATGACCTATGGCTGGTTAGGTCTTGTGGACTTTGTACTAGCACCAGACAGTAGCCTTAGCCAGTACCTGGTTTATTCTTAATAGCTGACTTTTGGGTGGTGGTTGGCACAAAACCTACTTTGGCTGGGGTAACAAGATAGCCTTGCCATTGACCCAGCAGGGGTTTGTTTGCCCTAATAGATATGGGATTTCTTAATCATAGTCAGTTCCCTCACCTACAACTCTTCTGTGCAGGTTTACGTCTAACATTTAATGAAATGGCCCTTATCCAACCCAGCCATTTGTCTCTCTGTATATATTTCAGCCTTCGGCCACACTAGAATGTTTACCTTCTAAAAGAGTTAGCTTGGCAATTTGTGGTTAAAATTTAATGGTGCATTTCATAGAATCATAGAACTGTAGAGTTGGAAGGGACTCCTAAGCTCATCTGGTCCAGCCCCCTGCAATGGAGGAATCTCAGCTAATGATTCCTGCATCTCAGCATTTCCCAAATCTCAGCATTTGTCCAATATGTCTTCTTGGGGTCTGGCAAAGGGCATGGCATAGAAACAGTTCGCTCTAAATCCACTTCCCCCTCCCTTAGGCACATGCAAAAATTGGCTAAAGAAGAAATTGCATGTTTACTGGAGTAAAGTTCACTTGAGCTATTGATCTCGCAGTGTCCAGTACTAAAGTTCATCTGACAGTTGATTGTCCGGAATCCAAATGTCAAATTTTACTATCAGCTGTGACCCTGGAAACACTTGTAAGTATAAAGTGCATATATCACCTGAGGTTTTTGTAAGTTATAAAGGAACACACACTCACAGGAGATTCTTGAAGTATCAGGAAGCAAAAGACAATCCATGGCTAAGTTGGGCACCAACTAATGGATTTGCACTTGTTAACAGGATTTCCGTTATCTGCCTCACACTTGCTGAACAAACAACTCTTCCATTTGACATTCTCTGCTCAAAATGTGTGCTGACTTCTGGATGAGTATTTTATTTTGAACACAGAGAAGAGATATCAACTGATATCCTAGAGGCATCAGAGAACATCTCAAACCTTGTGAGCAAACATCTGTGGTTGGAATAAGGTAGGAAATGTTTTGTAGAGGTTCTTTTCCTGATGGCACAATTTTCTCATCTCAGAGATCACTTTCCATTCTTTTCCTCCACTCCCCTTATCAAAGCCAGTATTTCCTCTAAAGCTTTTGGCTTGACCTCTTCATCTTTATCCTAAACAAAATAAATCTACGTGCCTTTACCCAAAATCAAATTAATTATTGTTTTAATTGTTGAGATCTGCAGGTCCAGCTTAAAAGTCTTATCGCCTTACCCAAAACTCTCCAGTCACCGTACTTGGGGTAAGGTGGTAAAGTCTTAATTATTTTTTTAAATGCAGGTCGCTTTTGCTAATGCTGTCTATTAGAAAGTGTTTGTTGTCATTTGTCCAGCATTTATTTGCTTTCTAACCTTTCCAAATTAATTCTTCTCCCATCCTGAAAAAAAAAGAAAAGAAATCCAGAACATTTTGCATTTTTTAATATATTTTTATTCTGTTCTCATTGCTGAGAATTATTACTATCAGCAGCAGAAGCATTAGAAATTGCTAACAACAAACAAACAACACGAAGCAGCCAGCTTGGGTAGTTTAGCCTACTGGGGTTATATATATTCTTACTAATTAGTGAGCCAGTCAGCCAGCCAAAGCTTGTGGGCTTATTACCCAGCCTTGAATACTATTGTTCTTTCCCCTACTCTCACTGCTTCTGCTGGCAATCTGGCCCCTTCTTGACATGGTCTCTTTGTTGACTCCAATGAACGTGTTAAAGGTAAAGGGACCCCTGACCGTTAGGTCCAGTCACAGAAAACTCTGGGGTTGCAGCGCTCATCTCACTTTACTGGCTGAGGGAGCCGGTGTACAGCTTCTGGGTCATGTGGCCAGCATGACTAAGCCACTTCTGGCAAACCAGAGCAGTGCACAGAAATGCCGTTTACCTTCCCGCCAGAGTGGTACCTATTTATCTACTTGCACTTTGACGTGCTTTTGAACTGCTAGGTTGGCAGGAGCAGGGACCAAGCAACAGGAGCTCACCCCGTCACGGGGATTCAAACCGCCAACCTTCTGATCGGCAAGCCCTGGGTGCTGTGATTTAGACCACAGTGCCACCTGCGTCCCAATGAACGTGTTACTTTTTATCATTGCTGACCAATTCCAAAGGCTTATTCTACTTTTCCCCCATGTCTTCCAGCAGGACTATCCACACCAGACGATACACAAAAGCAAGGGATGAGCACAATGGCCAGCTTCAGCCCAACATCCCTGTCCCCTTTGAATGCTGGAGAGAAATATTATGCAGCCTTCAACGCAAGCGCTTACCCCAACAGTAGCCACAGTAATGATGATCCAGAATTTGTATACAATACAGTAACAATGTATATAGTGTGTGTATCAATAATTATAGTTTGCATTTTGGGATGCTTGGGGAATGGAACTGTCATCTGGCTGCTTGGATTCCGTATTCAGAGGACCCCCTTCACCACGTACATCCTGAACCTCGCCGTTGCAGACTTTGGTTTACTTGCTGTGGACCTTATTCTAGAAATACGCTGGCTTCAGAATCGCAAACAGGATGAGGGTGTTGCGTTTGAATTCTTTGAAGATATTTTCCAATTCATGTACAACGCGGGTCAGTTTCTGCTGACGGCCATCAGTATTGACAGGTGTGTGTCTGTACTCTTCCCAGTTTGGTATGGATGCCACCGACCGCCACGTTTGTCCATTGTTTTGTGTGCCTTCATATGGGTGCTTGCTTTCTTTCTCCCTGGAACACATTTCATTCTCTACCTGGCTGTTAAAGAGTATCATGGTTCCGTAAGACTCTACCAGTACATTGAGAATGGCTTCTTTTGTCTCCCACTAATAACTGTCTCCACATTGATCCTGTTCATCAAGGTCTGCTTTAAAACACAACAGCAGAAGCGGGGCAAGCTCATTATAGTCATCCTCCTTACTCTTTTCTTCTTTATCTTTCTTTCTTTTCCACTGAATGCCTTTTACATTGGCCATTATGTTTTCCATATTCCAACTTTGCATCGATTGCAATATGGTTACTTGTGTGCCACTCTGAACAGCAGTGTTAACCCTTTGCTCTATTTTGTGTTTGGGAGACGAAGGAGAGGCGGGCATATAAAGGGCATGAAAGCCATACTCCAAAATATTTTCAAGGAAGAAGAAAACCCTACACAGGAAGTGGAGACCTGTGCTTTAAGTCCCTTGTGATGGCTTTGAAAGAGTACAACTTATAGCTATACCACTCTGGTTACTATAAGTTGTTCTAGCTCCTAACCAAGTAAACAAGTGTATATTTGTATTCCACTGCTGAGATTAAGTTTTGATGGCTCCAAAAGATTTATAATCCTAGTTTCTTTGAAGCATACATGTGTAATTTTGGTTTCCATTACCAGTACTTTTCTTGACCTGTATTCAGTGTGGGCTATTGATTCCAGGATGTGTTTAGAATTTCAGCAGGGTGAACTAGATGAACTCAGAAGCTCTTAATTATTCTAAGTCTTGTAGAGTTATGAAGCAAAGCATGCTATACCATCAAAACCATGTCTCTCTGTTTTACAACTAGTTACCAGAATCATGAATGTACAAAAACCCATCATCTATATTTGATATACTGTAATCTTGTATGTATAATCACCCCTTGCATTGCTTTGTAAGCCACCGTTTCTAATACAAGTTTGCATCTAGCTGTAACATGTCTACACTTGTTTGCATTGCTGTTGTAAAATGCTGTCATGGACTGGGTGGGGGCAGAGAAGTGGTGGGAGGCACCAGCTGAAGAACCCCCAGGGAAGAAGACTCAGAGCCAGGGGATTGGTGGTGGGACAACGATGAGTGGTCAGAGGGAGGAGACTGGGAGGAGGAGGAGGTGGAGGTGGTGGTGGTGGTGGTATTGGAAGCTGAAGAGCTAACAGGGTTTAGTGAGCAGGAAGAGGCTGCGACAGAGAGAAGTCCAGAATCTGGGTGGGAAAAAAGGAAGGAGGAGGGAAAGGATTTGGAAAGAGTCTTCTCCCCACCCTACATTCCCACTCTCGGTCTCTCACACACGGAGCTGCAGGGAGAACTGTTCTAAAGCCCAGACAGTAAAATGACTGGCAGGCTAGGAGCATCAATGGTACCCCTTGGAGATTTCACCCATGGCAAAAGTCCTGGCGTAAACCTCCCCCCCCCCCAAGCTATGGCTCTGCATTTGTGGAAGGCAACATCAGAGCACTATTAATCAAACACACTGAGAGCACTTTGCATGAGACTCCTTGCTTCACCCTGATTAAAAGTAAACACAGAGAACTCCGAGGTGATGTCATGCAATTGCAGCTGGACATATCAGATGCTTTTTCTGCCCCTGCCCCCAATTCACATGCAACTGGTGCACACAAGGGGAGCAAGATTTAACCTACCTCTTCCCCAAAGCTTCTTGCCAGCAGCGTTTATTTAGCAATAGCTTTTAGGAGCCGGATAAGGAATGCCTCACCAGCATGCAAAGGCATGGGGATGCCAGGAAAACCTCCCTACTCTCCTTCAGGATGAGGCCTGGGATAAGGGGTATGCTATGCCAACTAAATATGGTATAAGTAAAGGTAAAGAAAGGGACGCGGGTGGTGGGTTAAACCACAGAGCCTAGGACTTGCTGATCAGAAGGTCGGTGGTTTGAATCCTCACGACGGGGTGAGCTCCTGTTGCTCTGTCCCTGCTCCCGCCCACCTAGCAGGTCGAAAGCACGTCAAAGTGCAAGTAGATAAATAGGAACTGCTCCAGCGGGAAGGTAAACAGCGTTTCCGTGTGCTGCTCTGGTTTGCCAGAAGCGGCTTAGTCATGCTGGCCACATGACCAGGAAGCTGTACGCTGGCTCCCTCAGCCAGTAAAGCGAGATGAGCGCCGCAACCCCAGAGTCGGTCACGACTGGACCTAATGGTCAGGGGTCCCTTTACCTTTAAAGGTAAAGGACCCCTGGATGATTAAGTCCAGCCAAAGGTGACTATGGGGTGTGGTGCTCATCTCACTTTCAGGCTGAGGGAGCCGACATTTATCCACAGATGGCTTTCTGGGTCATGCAGCCAGCAAGACTAAACCACTTCTGGTGCAATGAAACATCGTGATGAAAACCAGAGTGCATGGAAATGCCATTTATCTTCCCACTGTAGCTGTACCTATTTATGTACTTGAACCGGCATGCTTTCAAACTGCTAGGTTGGCAGGAGCTAGGACAGAGCAATAGGAGCTCATCCTGTCGTGGGGATTCAAACCGCTGACCTTCTGATCAGCAAGCCCAAGAGGCTCAGTGGTTTAGACCACAGCGCCACCCATGTCCCTTAAAATATGGTATACATGGTATGCATCATCTTTCAGTTTATCCTTACAACAATTCTGTGAGGTAGGTTAGGGTGAGTGTGTGACTGAATCAAGGGCACTCACTAAGTGCCATTGCTAAATAGCGATTTCAATCCAACTCTCTCCACTCTCCACTCTTAGTCCAGCACTGGAATGCAAATGTGCAGGCAAGGTCAAGGTTCATGGCTCTCTCGGGTTCATGGTTAAGGTTCATGGCTCTCTTCATCTCAAACTTTGAGATGAATCAAAGGAGTGTTGACAAGACTAGTGATTTTATTTATTTTGCAGAAGGCTGTTTGGGAATGCTTTTGTATATAGTTATTTTTCACATGACATATTGTAACTGTCTTCATCGAGAGGAAACACCTAACTATTATCTACATATGCCCAAGCAAGATAGCTCTGACGGCAGATAATAATGCCCTGGTGTTTAACTGCCAAGAACATGTGCCCAGTATGTCATACATATTCGTATATATCAGTCTCATGTGCAGTAACACCAAGTTGATACTCCTGTAGCCAAAACTGTACGACCTTTACATAAGAGGCATACTTCAGTAGATTTGGGTAGCTCTGAGAGGGGCATAAAAACCTCTGAACACCCCACTGAAAACTCAGTGGGATGGAATGTTGAATAAGTGAGAGTGTGAGAGTGAGTTGGAGTGGCATAGAATGGAGTGGCTTTCTCTCCTTCTTTCTTTTTTTCTCTCCCATGAAAAAGCACCAAAAATAACATCTTATGGTATGGCTAAGCCTTACTCAGACTGAGATATTTTTCTCCATGTCCCCCAGGATGCAATGAAGAGTACTTGATATCAATAAATAGAGCCTTTAAAGAACTGGTGCATATGGGATCAGACAGAAGTGTTCCCACACCCCACCAAAAAAAGCAGATTGGCCTCCCAGACATGTCAAAGTTGTCCCAAGGGGGTTGGAAAATTAAGGCAATAAAGGCCTGCCAGCAAAATATCACGGGGGAGGAGAGTACTGTTGTGTTCAGAAGCTGTTGTGGTCTTCCTTGAAGCATCTGTTTGGCCACTGTGAGACCAGGACAGTTGACTGCAAGGGCACCTGACCTGATCTAGCAGGACTCTCTTTTTTGTTCTTCAGATATATTTCTCCACCCCAGCCTACGTTCTTCCCCAGCAGAACCAACCGCAAGCTGATTACTCTCTGAATACACTGGTTAGTCTTTCTGTTAATGGGTCAGGTGACACTCTAATCAATAAAGATATTTCTCCAGATAAGGTCAAAGAGAAGTTGGACTTGCTTACCACTTGCAAACTCTCTCTTCTCAAGAGTGCCTGACTGGGACACTAAACTTTAGAAGGCAAGAATCTCCTCCTGAGTTTGTCAAATGCTATCCGGAGACCCGGGTGTGGAATACAATCATCTTATCACACAATGCTGGCAAATGGATTACACAGAACTGAAGACACACAGGAAGGATCCTACACATCTTGCTAAGAGCCAGATGAGGCATTTAAACAATTTCTGCAAATCTTCCAATTACCTGCTTATTCCAGCACCACTTGCTGCTCCCACTCACCATGCCGGAGGGATGCTGATCCAAAGCTTTTGACAGGTACGTGAATAGCTAAATTTGATGTCATTCATTAGCAATGGTTAGAGGGGATCTGAATGGCAATGCTGTGCAACTTTGGCAGATAGGTGAGCCATGCTAAATTCATGGAGTCTTGCGTTACCAGGTAGATGGCTGGTGAAGACGGTAGGAATTTTTGGTTCCCACATCCAGTCAGAGCAGAAAGTACTAGGCAGGATAGACTAAAGGTTTGTCTAATACATTCTACATTATAAAAATATTACTGTCTGGCTAAGCTATTGTGGGTCATTTTCTGATTTTCATATTTCTTATCAAACTCAGTTAGGCTTGAGTTTTATTTATCCATTTGTTAAAAATCACATTTTAATAATAATAAAATTACAGATTCCTTCCCAATTCATTCTGGCTTTTGCTTTCCTAATCACAAGAGCTGTTCAACTCCTTCTCCCACTCCTGTTCTCCACCACCCAATCATCCCACCCTCAATGTCTACAACACGAGAGGTTAGTTTCAAATCTTAAGGCTGAGTCAGAGACCAGAAGTTGAGAAATTTGACTTTCCAAAATGATATGCTTACTGATATTGTGAATGTCGATTTTTTACCTGTGGGAAAGATTCATAACCCACCGGAATATTGCATTTCCCCTCTAAGGCTTTGAAACTGATGAGTTTTAGCAAACATTCCAATAAACAATATTCCTAAAGTGTTTGTTTGTTAATCAGTTATGAATTCCCACTATAGCATGTCTCTTTTGCTATTGTTTGAGTGCCTCAGTTTAATATGGTTGAGCTTTATAGCCAAAACTGACTCCACATTTGTTTATTTTCTCCTGGTAGTAAGATCTATACAAGAAAAAGTACCCAAAAGTACTCAAAAGTACAGATACAGCAAGATGAGCAATGATGGCCTGGGATCCTGGTCCACTTTGAATGCTTCATTGGAAGAGATTGGAGCAGAAAATGGAACTGACCTCTTAACCCCCCAGGATGGTTCTGATCATGGATTGCCACAATATCGTATAGCAGACATTCTTATCTCCATCTCCATTTTACTTATTAGCATTTTTGGAATCATTGGGAATGGAACTGTCATCTGGTTTCTTGGCTTTTCCATGAAGAGGAATCCTTTCACCACCTTCATCCTGCATCTGGCTGCAGCTGACCTTGGGGCTCTCATATGCTTATTTCCTTTTTACATTATAAATCTTCTGAGGTCATTTTTATCTTTACTTCCCTATATGCATTGGATTGTAACAGTGGTTTCCATTCTTTTTTTCATCATGTACAACACTGGTCAATATCTGTTGACAGCCATTAGCATGGACAGGTGTGTTTCTGCTGTTTTCCCACTTTGGCATCGATGCCACCGACCACCACACCTTTCCACCCTTGTGTGTGCCACAATATGGATCATTTCTTTCCTGCTCACTGCAATCAACTTGATCGTTTCTATTTTTAACATTCTACCACATACCATGTTCTACCACCTTCTATTGAATGCTATACTTTGCCTCCCACTCATGACTGTTTCCACTCTGGTCTTGTTTATAAAAGTTTACTTCAGATCACAACAGAGGAAGAAGGGGAAAGCTTTAACAGCCATCCTACTTGCCCTCCTCCTCTTCCTCTTCTTAGCTTTCCCATTTACTTGCATTTTATTAATCAGTTTCTTCACTTCACTTATAGACTATAATGTTGAATTTTTTGCAATTTCTGTTGGGTTCTTATGCAGCTGCCTGAATAGCAGTATTAACCCACTGATTTATTTCCTGATTGGGAGAAACAAGAGGGCTCGATCT